ACGGACGGACACACACACGGACGCAGATGGTCCACCCCCACAGGAAGGTTTTATGACACAGCTTTTGAACAACTCGGGAAGCCGAGTGGAAGTTTCCGATATAAACCGAAGGAAAATCCATACATCACAGAGATCGACAGGGGCTCTGGCCTCCATCACAGATCGACAGGGGCTCTGGCCTCCATCACAGTTCGTCAGGGGCTCTGGCCCCCATCACAGAGATATCATCCGGGCTACGAGCCCATCTTCGGCTCCACCACAGATCTTCACGAGCTCCGGCCTACATCTCATCTCGTCTCCGGGCTAAGGCCCCACCAGAGTTCTCCAAGGCGACAACCATCTCTCCTCGTCGCCGCCAACGAAGAAGCTCCTGTCATTCAGAATGACGAGGGTCGCGGAGTAGCGACGCGTAGCTACAAGCCGAGGTCTGCACCACCTGAGAAGAATCGCTACCCTGAGTCGCAGAGCTGCGAGTGAAGCCAACAAAGACGCCAACGTCCACCCTGCCACGAACGAAGCATCGCTCCTCGTCAGAGTGACGACCAGCGAACAACCCGCAGGAAAGGCGGAGATCGCTGAACGAGCGCCAACTTGCGCCACCTTGCGCCACCGTGCGCCACCGTGCACCACTTTGCGCTGAACGTGCGCCACGTGCGCCACCGTGCGCCACCGTGCGACACCGAGCGACAACGAGCGACACCCAGATCGACCAGCATCAACCCAAACCGACTCGTCATCCCGCCGTGGAGAAAAAGAGTCAAAGTCTTCTGAACGAGCGCCGCCGCTCACCTCACAGCGGAGAAAGTCTCAGCTGCCGATCGCACAAACAACAGAGGTCGTATCGCTCCCCACATACAGACTCAAGAAAACACAGAGAAAATCTTGTCAAACCAGTTTCCTTTGTCCCAGAATCTCGCCGAAGAATTAATTAAAACAGAGCCAGATTCGCTCTCGCGCCCACACGCCCTCACCCACCATTGTATCAAACATTCCGTTAAAAAGGATTTTAGACTTGCCGATGAATCTATTGACATATACTTTCGCCTCTGGGATACAATAAGTGCTTTTTATTACCGCCATATGAAGTGTGTCATGCTTGTTTTCAAACTCGACCAGTCGCCGATTGTGATCAATACATGGGCGAACTAATGATGCCTGGTAGGAAAAGTAGAGGTTACAATTGATAGAAGTGTTTTTAGTCATTCAGTTCGTTAAATGCATAAGTGTTTATTCATTCATTTTAGTCAAATGCATAATCTCGTAATTGCATAAGAGTTTTGGTTATTCATATTAGTTATGCATAATATCGCAAATGCATAAGAATTTTGTTATTCAATTTAGCTAAATGCATAAGTGTTTATTCATTCATTTTAGTCAAATGCATAAGAGTTTCGTTATTCATATTGCATAATTGCATAATGTCACAGCTGCATAAGTTTTTGTCGTTCATATTAGTTAATTGCATAATCTTGCCCATGAATTATTGACGCATGTTTGACCTGCATGATAGAATGTCACGTGCTTGTTAGAATAAAATTGTTATCACAGAAGCATATCGAGTGTTCCTTCCAAGTCCATGCAAAACTGTCTTATTCTGAAGAACTGTATCCTGTGATGAGATATGAAAATGGAGACCTAAAATATTATAACACACACTAGGATAATCGGTAAATGAATCTATGATAATCGTGTTATCCTGATTGATAACTCTGGATAAACGAAACTAAGCAAATTATCATAACTGCACACATTAACATAATCGCAAGCCTCCGCATAAATTACTACGATTACTACGATTATCATAATTTATGCATATAATCACATGCATTATCATAATTTATGCATATTAATACACACACTATCATAATTAATGCGATTTGCGCATTTTTCGGAAAATTATTAATTTTTATTATTTTCATCAAAATTTCATAATACCAACACATACAACACACCACTCCTCTTTGCAGATCTTCTCCAAGTCATTAAGGTTTCGAGGCTGACGTTTGGCAACTCGAACCTTCAGCTCTCTCCACAGATTTTCTATGGGATTAAGGTCTGGAGACTGGCTAGGCCACTCCAGGACCTTAATGTGCTTATTCTTGAGCTGCTCCTTTGTTGCCTTGGGCTGTGTTTTTTTGGTCATTATCATGCTGGAATACCCCTTCCACGACCCATTTTCAATGCCCTGGCTGAGGGAAGGAGGTTCTCACCCAAGATTTGACGGGACATGGCCCCGTCCATTGTCCCTTTGATGCGGTGAAGTTGTCCTGTCCCCTTAGCAGAAAAACACCCCCAAAACATAATGTTTCCACCTCCATATTTGACGGTGGGGATGGTGTTCTTGGGGTCATAGGCAGCATTCCTCCTCCAAACACGGCGAGTTGAGTTGATGCCAAAGAGCTCCATTTTGGTCTAATCTGACAACAACACTTTCACCCAGTTGTCCTTTGAATCATTCAGATGTTCATTGGCAAACTTCAGACGGGCATGTATATGTGCTTTCTTGAGCAGGGGGACCTTGCGGGCGCTGCAGGATTTCAGTCCTTCACGGCGTAGTGTGTTACCAACTGTTTTCTTGGTGACTATGGTCCCAGCTGCCTTGAGATCATTGACAAGATCCTCCCGTGTAGTTCTGGGCTGATTCCTCACTGTTCTCATGATCATTGCAACTCCACGAGGTGAGATCTTGCATGGAACCCCAGGCCGAGGGAGATTGACAGTTCTTGTGTGTTTCTTCCATTTACGAATAATCGCACCAACTGTTGTCACCTTCTCACCAAGCTGCTTGGTGAGGGTCTTGTAGCCCATTCCAGCCTTGTGCAGGTCTACAATCTTGTCCCTGACATCCTTGGAGAGCTCTTTGGTCTTAGCCATGGTGGAGAGTTTGGAATCTGATTGATTGCTTCTGTGAACAGGTGTCTTTTATACAGGTAACAAGCTAAGATTAGGAGCACTCCCTTTAAGAGTGTGCTCCTAATCTCAACTCGTTACCTGTATAAAAGACACCTGGGAGCCAGAAATCTTTCTGATTGAGAGGGGGTCAAATACTCATTTCCGCCATTAAAATGCAAATCAATTTATAACATTTTTGACGTGGGTTTTTCTGGATTTTTTTGTTATTCTGTCTCTCACTGTTCAAATAAACATACCATTAAAATTATAGACTGATCATTTCTTTGTCAGTGGGCAAACGTACAAAATCAGCAGGGGATCAAATACTTTTTTCCCTCACTGTAAATATTCATGCAGTTTCTATTTTTCATTTTTTGTTACCAGGCCAAGCCGGCTTGAGCTGCTCTACCGCTCTTGTTCTCAGAAGCTACCTGCCCACAACGCAAGGTGAGGCTTTGTGAACTTGCGTGTGAATGTGTTGACTTAAAACTTTCGTGACTGCAGGAATTCATATTCTTGGTTCTTTCGGTAAAGTCACTTAGACAGAAAATGTAATAAAAATAACATGATGAAATAAAAATTATTAAATTGTAAATAAAGAAAAAAAACACGACGTTTCGATCGCAACACAAGTGGTCTTTATTTTATTTAATTTTATTATCTATTATTGATATTTTCTACCTCCGTAACTTTACCGAAAGAACCAAGAATACGTGTGGAAATGTGTATCGGTCAAAGACGCTAAACTCGTGCTGATGTTGACTCTAAATGTGGAGGGCAAACCCGGGAGATCCGGAGGAAAATCCACGCGACCACGGAGAGAGAGACATGCAAACTCCAAATATACAGCAGCAGCAGGCGCCAAGGCCGGGATCGAACCCACGACTTCCTGCATACCAGGTGAGGTAGTTAACATCTCACCACGGAGAGAGAGAGACACACAAACTCCAGTTAGCCTCGGCTATGTTGATTGATCCTCAATTAATTACTTGGTGGAGTGAGGAATCATTTATTCTGAGCAGATGAAGGTGGCCAGGCATGGTTCTGGTCAAACCACTACTTGTTTACCCATGACAGTGTGTGACAGTTTAAAGTTTGTGTTCGCAGTAAAGTCGATTAACTCTGTTGAACACTGAGGTTATATCAAAACAATAGTTTATTTTTGTTTCCCTCTGGAAGCACATGCAGCTGAATTCGGATCAGTTCATCCCAGCATTCAAGGACATCTAAGTTGTGATTGAACGTTAATTTATGCATTTCTGCATAGCACAAATAGAATTGTTTTCAACACCCTTTGCAATGTCAGCTGAATTTAGCTTTTATACATATTCCTTTTGTAGCCAGACAGCCGAAATTGTGTGCTCGGAGTTTTGGGTTAACATTCATTTTTAAGATACGAGGGCTCCCAGGCATATTTATGACCACTTGCCCTCTCATTGTGTGCCATCACAGCCCGTGTGATGAATTTGAGAAACGTTTTTACTACATCATGAATATATGAATAAGTATAGACGTGTAAGTCAAGTGTGACTGTACGTATGCGTTCTTCTGTGCCTCGATACCGGAGTGGATATATTCTTAGGTTTTTTTCGGTAAAGTCACGTAGGTAAAAAATGTAAATTAATAAAAGTAAAATAAAACAAATTAAAAAATTCACGACGTTTCGGAAGCAACACAAGCCTCCGTCTTCAGGTGGAAACGTCACAGCCACGACAGCTGTATTTTTTTTTGTATTTCTTTTTTTACTTGATACAGCTGTCGTGGCTGTGACGGTTCCACCTGAAGACGGAGGCTTGTGTTGCTTCCGAAACGTCGTGAATTTTTTAATTTGTTTATTTTTACTTTAATTTAAATTTTTTACCTACGTGACTTTACCGAAAAAACCTAAGAATATGAATCCTTGCAGTCACGAAAGCTTCAAATCTAGAATGGTGTGGACATTCCTATTATCTGTCTGCAGCTGACGCTTCCTTCGACGCTTCCTCTGCAGAATTGGTCTAATGGAGCAAAGGCAGTCAGCACAGCTCAGTACGGCAAGGCAACAATGCGACCAGAGTGCATACAGCACGGATCGCACTGGAAATTTGACACAGCACCAGAGAACACACACAGGAGAGAAACCCTTCAAGTGCACTGTGTGTGGGAAGGCATTTCCACTGTCATCTGTTCTTAAAAAACACCAGAGAACACACACGGGAGAGAAACCCTTCAAGTGCAGTGTGTGTAGCATGGCATTTTCACAGTCGTATCATCTTGAAAATCACAAGAGAACACACACAGGAGAGAAACCCTTCAGGTGCTTTCTGTGCGGGAAAACGTTTGCAAAGTCACAAACTCTTCAAAGACACCAGAGAACACACACGGGAGAGAAACCCTTCAAGTGCAGTGTGTGTGGGAAGGCATTTTCACAGTCACATAATATTGTAATACACCAGAGAACACACACTGGAGTGAAACCTTTCAGGTGCACGATTTGCGGGAAGGCGTTTGCACAAGCATCCGTTGTTCAGGCCCACCAGAGAACACACACAGGAGAGAAACCCTTCAAGTGCACTGTGTGTGGGAAGGCATTTTGTCAGTCATCTACTCTTAAAAATCATCAGAGAACACACACAGGAGAGAAACTCTTCAAGTGCACTGTGTGTAGCAAGGCATTTTCACAGTCATCTGCTCTTAAAAATCACCAGAGAACACACACGGGAGAGAAACCCTTCAGGTGCTTTCTTTGCGGTAAGGCGTTTACACGGTCAGAACATCTTCAAAGACACGAGAGAACGCACACGGGAGAGAAACACTTCAAGTGCCGTGTGTGTGGGAAAGCGTTTGTGGATTCATCTACTCTTGTAAGACACCAGAGAACACACACAGGAGAGAAACCCTTCAAGTGCACTATGTGTGGGAAGACATTTTCACAGTCATCTCTTAAAAACATCAGAGAACACACACAGGAGAGAAACCCTTCAGGTGCATTCTGTGCGGGAAGGCGTTTACACGGTCAGAACATCTTCAAAGACACGAGAGAACACACACTGGAGAGAAACCCTTCAGGTGCACTTGGCGGGAAGGCGTTTGCACGGTCATCAAATCTTCAAGTACACCAGAGAACACACAAGCATCAGAAGATCTGCAAGGAGTGGAGTCTGAAATCAGCTTGTGAAAGTCAAAGTGCCGCAATGAGCCCATCCCTCATCAAACAATAACTGGAGGAAAATCCCAGCTTGGACACTTAAAGGTATCGAGGTGAAATGTGAAGAGGTGATGGTGAAGAGCAAAGAAGTGATGGTGAAGAGTGAAGAAGTGATGGTAAAATGTGAAGATGAAGATTATACTGCAAAATGGGACCTTCACATTGATGGAGGCAACGTGAAGCAGGAGGGGAATTCTGACTGTGAGGCAGAGTGAGGCAACTCCCAGCAGTTTGTGGAGGTGGAGGTGTGGGTGAACTTCTTAGAAAACACAAAGTCAAAGGGAGACCCGGTAGATGTGTCAGCTTGAGACGTCGCTCCAATAGATGCTCCTTTGTCACGGGCCTTTAATGAAAATAATGTGAAGTTGAACACTCAGTTCCTGGGTTCAACCTGCAGAGTAAGAGTGAGCGGCCAGTCTTTGTGTTCCCTGTGGGTTGGGTAGATCCCTGTGTTACGATCTAAACTTCCTGATCTATTATTTTTGCTACTGACATGACTTTACTGAAAGAACCAAAGAGTGTGTGAACAAGAGCCTGTCAGTAGGGGGCGATGATGTTTCATCTCAGTTGTGTAATTTGTCGGTAATGTTGAGAATTTGCTACATTTTGACTCGAGACGCAAGCATGCAATGGCCTACTCGTTTTGAATGACACAATAGTATGTTTTACATCCACTGTTAAGCAGACGGTGCATAATTATTTGAAATAGCTTAACCTGGTGCAGTATATTTCACTGCAGTAATTACATTTTGTTAAAATGGAAAATGTCTGTCAATAATTTAGAATGAACACTGATTTTGTGTACATGCAACATTTTATTTATAAGGGTCAAACATTGAATAAGTGATGTTAGGACAAAGTTTGTGTTTTTGGAAGTAACCTGTACAGATCACTCAGGTGAGACCCGTTGTTCTTGTGATACAGGTCAAAGGGTAGTATCCACACATGCCCGTTTGCTTTTAAATAAATGTGTGCATCTTTTGATTGAAAGCTTTCGTGACTGCAGTGAACTATTTGTCTTTTGTCAACGTGACATAATCCTGTGTTGGGATCTTGAGAGATGACGATAGCTGGGGAGGCTTTCATTCAGCCGTAGATCAATCACGGCTGACAATGGTCATTCCAATTACGAGACTTTACCCGGTGTAAGAGGCCGGAGTATACCCAAATGCCGTAGTATACCCACAGGCCGTAGTATACCCACAGGTGTAGTATACCCGGGGTCTAAACGGCCTAGGCTAGATTATAGCCGGGTATATTATGGCCTAGGCCAAATGATGCCCCTCTAGGCCAAATCATACCCCCGTGATAGTAATGGCGTTGAGCGATATACACGTGAATTACTAAATTTTTCCAACATTTTATTTTAAACTGTAAACACATCGACTTTGACTGCTTCAACCAGAAAAAAACTTTAATAATAACCCCTGAACCCTAAAAATGCTTCAATTGATCAAATTTAGATTCTTACTTCCACGCGTACGCGTTTTAGATATCGATTGCAGTTCGTTGTCGCCTGTTCTCTGTCTGGATAATTGCCTTTGAACTTTCACATGGGCAGAGTCTGGCCTGGAGCGGTATGGTCTGGCCCAGTCGAGTTTAAACCCCCGGGGGGTCTAGTTTAGCCTTGGAGACTTCATCCCCCCCCCCCCCCGGGTATACTCTGGACTGGGCCAAACTATACCCGGGTTTAATCGGGGCAGGGGTTATTTTAGCCTGTCGGGATGGAACTCACGACCTCCTGTACACCCGGCGAGGTAGTTAACATCTCATAGCCACCGTGATGATGAGAGAGACACCGCAAACTCCAAATATACAGCAGCAGGCGTCGCCATGGTCTGGATCGAACCCACGACCTCCTGCGCACCAGGCGAGGTAGTCAACATCTCCTAGCCACCGTGATGAGAGAAACACCGCAAACTCCAAGTATACAGCAGCAGGCATCGTCAGGGTCGTGATGGAACTCACGACCTCCTGTACACCCGGCGAGGTAGTTAACATCTCATAGCCACCGTGATGATGAGAGAGAGACACGCAAACTCCAAATATACAGCAGCAGGCATGTCATGGTCTGGATCGAACCCACGACCTCCTGCGTACCTGGCGAGGTAGTCAACATCTCCGAGCCACCGTGATGATGATGAGAGAGACACCACAAACTCAAATATACAGCAGCAGGCGTCAGGGTCGGGATGGAACTCACGACCTCCTGCGCACCAGGCGAGGTAGTCAACATCTCCTAGCCACCGTGGTGATGATGAAGAGAGAGACACAGACCTCCTGCGCACCAGGCGAGGTAGATCAGCCGCGGTAGTCCACATCTCATAGCCACCTTGATGATGAGAAAGACACCACAAACTCCAAACATACAGCAGCAGGCGTAGCCATGGTCTGGATCGAACCCACGACCTCCTGCGCACCAGGCGAGGTAGTCAACATCTCATAGCCACCGTGGGGCAGTCATGGCTAGAGTGGTGGAGGGGGCGTGTCACCCTCCGTGTCTGGGCGGTGCGTCCGAGACCGGCTCTGGTTTGGCCCCGGAACCGTCTCGTTCTGAGTCGGTCAAGTGGCGTTCTTCGTTCGATTCGGCCGTGTGAGCTCCCCGCTCGGGGCAACCTCCAGGCAGCTTGAGTGGCGCAAGGAAATACACAGGCAGGAACACAATGTTCCACACTGCCCACCAGGGATTATTTGTCTGTCTGTCTGTCGTGCATAAATAAATATATAATATAAACAGCTCTTTGATTGGTGGAGACCTACTGCCGGGTACGGAGAGGGGAGGGGCCTAAGGGAGGGGGTCAGGGGAGGGGCCTGAGGATATGGGGGGGTGGTCAGGGGAGGGGCCTAAGGGAGGGGGTCAGGGAGGGGCCAATAGTGAAGGGGGCTGGCTGCCTGGCTACCTCAAGTCACGTGATCTTGTACACAGGTAGAGGAACAACAGGTTCCATACTTGCCCACCAGGGATTATTTGTCTGTCGTGCACGAATGCGCTGTCCAACCAAGTTCCTACCTGCCCACTCCGAAGGAACGTGTTTTTTAAACGATGCGAAATAACGGCACTCAACTGTTCATTTAACTACTTTCAAGTTTCCGGATGGGAAAGCGGAACAGCGCCGGCTCACCGCGGGGCTTGCGGCGTGGAACCAGCGACTCGTCGTCAACGTCAACTCCACGGCTCGCGAGCCAAACCCTTCGCAAGTCTAGCGTACACACGGAGACAGACGGACAGGACAGACACACGAAAAAAAACACGTTCCTTCGCAGTGTGCAGGTCGGAACTTGGTTGGACAGCGCATTCGTGCACGACAGACAGACACATAATCCCTGGTGGGCAGTGTGGAACTGCTGTTCCTACCTGTGTAGAAGATCACGTGACTTGAGGTAGCCAGGCAGCCAGCCAGGCCCCTCCCCTGACCCCCCCTCCCTTAGGCCCCTCCCTGACCCCCCCTCCCTCAGGCCCCTCCCTTCTCCGTACCCGGCAGTAGGTCTCCACCAATCAGAGAGCTGTGTGTATTATATATTTATTTATGCACGACAGCCAGTCAGACAGACACGTGATCCCTGGTGGGCAGCAGTGTGGGACATTGTTGCTGCTGCCTGTAACACGTGTCTACCTACGTCACTCCATGGGCAGTGGTGTCAATGGGCGGTGCTTATCAATTCTACGGATTGTGATTCGCGCTCACGTGTTCTCCTATCCGCGCTACGTTTTCTAAAAGCGCTCTGCCAAGGCTCCACGCGATCACAGCCGCACGCGTTCGCCTGCCTGTGGTCGAGGCACGAAACGTTGGATTTCCACCACCACCACCACATGAGGACACAGAAAAGAGCTCAAGACCCCCCCCACACATCTACGCAGCGTTGCGCCGGTGAGTGACGTGTTGAGGCCTTGTCAACTTCATATTTTTCTTCTTGGTTCTTTCGGTAAAGTCATCACGTAGAAGGGAAGTAATAAAATAATAAAAATAAAACAATACAATAATTCTCACGACGTTTCGGCCACAATGCAAGCGGCCGTCTTCAGGTGAAGAATGAGACACTGCCAAGCTTGGAGCTTATATATAAGCTGGGTTGGAGTTGGAAGAAGAAGAGAGCTTTAACAAAAGAATGTGCACATCAAGAGAAATGTGCACATTCTTTTGTTAAGGCGCCTCGCTTGGCAGTGTCTCATTCTTCACCTGAAGACGGCTGCTTGCGTTGTGGCCGAAACGTCGTGAGAATTATATTATTACGTTTTATTTTTATTATTTTATTACTTCCCTTCTACGTGACTTTACCGAAAAAACCAAGAAGATGAATCCCTGCAGTCACGAAAGCTTTAAATCGAAATGTAACTTGATATTTCCCCCCGTGACAATTGTTTCACACCACACAGCACTCGCGCAGACGTGCAAGTGCTGTGTTGGTCTCTCTCTATCCTGCAGGGTGTTCTCACTCGGGGGCTCTTTAAGTGATGGGAGAAACCTGGATCTGTGGCTGATGCAGCGTTGCCCTGTTTGCTGGGGATAATCAATGTTGGTTTTTAAATCCTTTATATTAAGTTCGCTTGCTTGCTTGCTTAGGACCGTGCAAATCTTTCGGTCGTTTTTTAACCCACTTCCCGTGATCCAATCGAGCTGACATTTGCACACAGACTCGTTGTGCGAGACAATTAATGTTCGTGAAATATTTTTTCCAAAATTTTACACTGTTTAGGGAAAACAAATTAAATATTTAATTACCAATTGTTTAATACTGCTGCAGACAATCATCTGACCCATAGGTGGCAGCCATCTCAAGCCAGAGGATGAGAGGACTCTAGCCGCCACGCATATAAAGGATTTATAGTGAAAAACTTTGTTTTTACGGGTTATACTTATTATTGATCTGGTTTCAAAAATCGGTGCCACTGGATGAAATGCAGCCGATGTGAAATGTAAACATTCTGCTGCTCAACGCAGGAGCACGTGACCATCAATGATGAGCGTGCATCCAAGTGTCCCTTGCAAAGGAGGTCTTTGACTGGTAGGAACCCACTGGTTCCACCAGCCCACAGGGGATTATTGTGTCCGTCCGTCGTGCAGGGAGGGGTTGGGTGGGGAGGGGCTGGGTGGGGCTGGGTGGGGAGGGGTGGGGCTGGGTGGGGAGGGGCTGGGCGGGGGGTGGAAGGGTAGGGGCTGGGTAGGGAGGGCTGGGTGGGGTGGGGTGGGAGGGGTGAGGCTGGGTGGGGAGGGGCTGGGTGGGGCTGGGTGGGGAGGGGCTGGGGGAGGGGCTGGGTGGGGGTGGGAGGGGTGGGGCTGGGTGGGGAGGGGCTGGGTGGGGGTGGGAGGGTGGGGCTGGGTGGGGAGGGGCTGGGTGGGGGTGGGCTGGGTGGGGAGGGGCTGGGTGGGGGTGGGAGGGTGGGGGTGGGAGGGGTGGGGCTGGGTAGGAGGGAGGGGTGGGTTGGGAGAGGCTGGTCACCCCGTGGTATCCTTATAAAACTCAACGTTTAACCTACTCACACCGGCTTGTGCCCGCCCTCACAGTCGGGCATATTTGCGGAATACACCACGCCGCCATTGACCCTGCAGGCCATTGAGCGAGCAACCCGACGTTCCTACCAGCTCCCTCCGCAGGAATGTGTAACCTGGCACGGTTGTCACCTGGTGTACTGGAGGTCGTGGGTTTGATACCGACTGACACTACCTGCTGTATATTTGGAGTTGACGTGCCTCACTCCCCGTGGTCACGTGGAATTTACTCCGGGTCTTCCGGTTTTTCCCTCAGCATTTAGAAAAATGCGTTTAGAGTGCCGTGTTTTGTCTATACTGCAACATCAAACATTGGCTAGTTTTATTAGTATACTAGCTGGACTACCCCCGGCTTCGCCCGGGACTTGGATTCACCACACCCGGCCGCCTTTGTCTCCCCAGTGGCGATGTTCACACACCACACTAGTTACTCGTTTGAGGCTGAGTCGACCTAGGGGAGGCCCAGGACCGGTTCAAATAATCGTCACCGCTGGTGGCCGTGAGCGGGAATCGAACTCGGGTCGCCGGGTTCGTAGCGCGGCGTAGCGCTAACCACTACACTACACACGCGTGGGTCACGTGACAGATGTGACGTCACAGTTCACTTGCTGTGCAAAAAAATCTCTGCATTATTGAGCTCCCCCCCCCCAAAAAGTGTATTTTTAATAATGTGTGCATGGTGTACAGTCTGGAAAGTAAAGCACCCACATGGCAAATTTCCAGTTCGTTGCATGTCGGGAAATACGCTAAACATTTTGAACAGACACATAATATTCATAACTTTGCCTTTAATATATGAGATATTTGTAAAGTGATTTGTTTACTCTTACTGTACTCTGCACTCACACCGTGTTTTGTATTGTGTTTGTTGTCATGTTCTGACCCAGTGTCCCAGCTGGACATGTGTGAAAAAGAGCTTTATAGCGCTTCTGATTCATCCTCTTGCAGTTTAAATGCTTCTAATTCCTCCTGCTCCCCCTCCTACTCTGCTCCCTCCCTTCTACGCCCTCCTCCTAGCCAAGTGAAGGAAGCCCCCGGTCTGACCATCTGTCCCCCCCCCTGATGGAGGCCTTCCCCATCACCGCCCTTCTTCTGGCGTCGTTGTTGTTGGCTGTGCTGGGTGACCACCGCCACGCCCTGCCCCGTGACCGTGAGTAGCAAACTGCACCGCCACCCCCCTTGAGACGATGCCCCCTCTCAACGCTACACCCACCAAATCGTCCACTAAAGACTATCAACTAAATCTTGACTTAAAGCTTTCGTGACTGCAGGAATTCATATTCTTTGGGGTTTTTGGTAAAGTCGCGTAGATAGGTTCAAAGAAAATAGCAAAAAACTTAAACTACGACGTTTCATCTTCTTGGTTCTTTCGGTAAAGTCACGTAGAATGGAAATAATAAAATAATAAAAATAAAACATAATAAAATAATTCTCACGACGTTTCCACAACGCAAGCAGCCGTCCTCAGGTGTAGAACAGGTCTGTCGAGAAGACAGAGTCTGAATGTCTTCTCGACAGACCTGTTCTTCACCTGAGGACGGCTGCTTGCGTTGTGGCCGAAACGTCGTGAGAATTATTTATTATGTTTTATTTTATTATTTATTATTTCCATTCTACGTGACTTTACCGAAAGAACCAAGAAGATGAATCCCTGCAGTCACAAAAGCTTTAAATCGAAATTTTATAATTGATTATTTTATTATTTATTATTTTATTATTTCCATTCTACGTGACTTTACCGAAAGAACCAAGAAGATGAATCCCTGCAGTCACGAAAGCTTGAAATCGAAATTTTACGACGTTTCTATCGCAACACAAGCGGTCGTCTTCAGGATAAGGAGGGTTAGCTTCCAAGGCAAACTGTTTGTAAGGGTTTCAAATGGGCGTCGCCCAAATGTCAGCAGCCAATGGCAATGCAAGTGGTGGGCAGCAAACCCGATAGCGGTTGGTATTCCACCAATCAAAGGGCTGCCAGGTGCAAATTGGCATGTTAATGAGAGATTAGCATGTTGATTGAAAATCGTAAAGCCGCGCGAATTGGCTGTGTTGGTGTGAATCTGCTATTGCCACTGCTGCAGCCACAGTTTTGTTAACCCATCAATCTCCTGCAGGTACTCGCCCTCCGTTCATCACCCGGTATTCGCCGGAGGATTACGTAGTGGACCCGCAGGGCGAGATCGTCATGGAGTGTGAGGCTCATGGCAACCCAACGCCCAAGTACGCTACCTCCCCACATCCCTTGTTGTTGTATATTTCGGGTTTTGAAATTTGTATAAAATAATAAAATACTCTTAGTTTTTTCAGTAAAGTCACGTAGGTAAAAAATGAAATAAAAATTAATAAAAATAAAGGAATAAGAATCGCGAACTTTCGGAGGCAACACAAGCTTCCGTCTTCAGGTGAAACGGTCACAGCAAAATATATCTGTATCAAGTGTATCAAGTGATACAGATATATCTTGATACAGATATTTTGCTGTGACCGTGATTTTTATTCTTTTATTTTTATTAATTTAAATTTCACTTTTTTTACCTACGTGACTTTACCGAAAAAACTAAGCGTATGAATCCTTGCAGTCACGAAAGCTTCAAATCAAAATGTTAAAATGTTTTATGTAATTATGCGTTGTGGCCGAAACGTCGTGAGAATTATTTTATTATGTTTTATTTTTATTATTTTATTATTTCCATTCTACGTGACTTTATACATCGAAAT